TATGGCCAAACCTGTTTGGGAAGATTTTGGCCAATTTTGTTCGAGCACCCCACCGCCACTGTGAACACCGGCAATGGAAACGGAGGAAGTTTCCCGAAAAGGAAAACCCAGAGGCTTCCTTCCCAAAAAGGTAAGTTCTGCTTTGGCCGTGAGACCACACCCAAAAGGTAAGTTCTGCTTTGGCCGTGAGACCACACCCACCCCCTGGCACCTGTTTCCATCGGTGGACATGCCCCCCCCCCGCTACTCGTCTGGGAGGCAGTTTCTGGAAAGCAGTTGGCAGACCTGGTGCTGATTTTCCATACCGCTGACCATGTAGAAATGCCTCTGCCACATTTTGCAGATGGAAACACGAGGACAGTGCGGTCCAAAAATCGTTGCCAAATGCACTTTTCACACGGGTTTTCCAGACCCTTGGGGTCTACAAAACCACCTGGCGCCCAATAGTTTCCAGGTGGGCGCCAGTGGGGTCCAGACCGAGTTGCAGATGCGCCAAGAAAGAGTGAGATTTGCCCTGCAGGGATTTATTGCGGGAGCTTGGACAATAACGCAGTGCGTTAGGGTTTTGATATGGAGGGACTGGTCAAGGTAATGAGTATTACCGAGGCTGTTCGGTTTGCTGACTTTTTTTTCGTTTTATTTCATCGATTTTGGTTGCCAATTTTTCGTTTTGAACTCTTTATTTAATTTCATTTGGTTGCTGAGTTCACCCGTTCGTTGATATTCTTAGGATATCCGTTCAAATTGGAGCAATGCACAGAAAACAAAGAAGCCAATGCAAGTCCTGATTGAAAATGAAGAGAATTATTGAGGGTGTCATATAAACCATTAAGACCAGGAGGGGTATGAGCTTCTAATATTTCTTTTATACTATGGCCAATCCCAAGTTTTGCACGGTGCATGTGACTTGTAGCCCCTGGGGGCCAAGTACCATCACCGTCTTCCCCCAAACATAACGCATATGTGTTGTATTAGAGTTTTTCAAAAAATAAAAAATCCGAATAGAACACATATGTATTGTATTTGAAAATCCTGGCTGTTCAGATAAAACGCACGTGGATTGTATTCGAATAGAAAGTGACCTATGCATTGTATTCGTTTACAATGCATATGTGTTATGTTCGGGGGAAGACGGTAGCCGCGTCGAGTTTCCTCAACGCCCGTGTAATGCACCCACTCTGAATGAGACGGTGTCACCAATCCGTCAAGCAAGTTTGATCGATGCACTCAAATGTAGTCGCTCGCTGATATAAACAACTCAACACCCAAAATGCACCGAGCTTGAGCAGCGAGGCACCAGAAATAGACAAAGGGAGAGAAGACATGGAGAGAGAAAGGACGAAGAGCTTCATCGATAATCAATAACACAAGAGAGTCAGCTCGCCCACTCCCTCTTCATCAGCAGGATTCTCTCTACCAACTCGCCACTTCAGCATTGCAAGTCCCTCTCTGAAAAGCACAGATGAAGTCTCTCTGCAGGAACCACGCCCAACTTCCAGCGTCAGCACCGGCTATGGAGGTTGGCGTCAATCTCCTTCAGCCTCCTGATGTGACCGGCAGCTCCTTCAGTATCACCAGCGTCCAGGTAAATTAAGGTAAGCTTCCCACGTACTAGCTTCCCAACCACACACACACACACACACACACACACACACACACACACACACACACACACACACACGCACACACACACACACACTCCTGATCGCCCTCCTCCTCGTGCAGTCTCCTCCCGACAGCTATGGTGGCGGAGCGCCTTTCCTGGCTATGGCCATCTCCACCGCTCTCCTTACCTGGCTGGTGCTCTCCTCCTATGTCTGACGCCAGCCTCTCCTCCACTTCCAACCTTGCAAGCAGCAGTCTGGCCGCTGGATCGTGCAAGGCAGAATGATTCAGCCTCTGGCCTGGCTTCCTTTTTATAGCCTCCTCATGCCTCATTTGTACGGCCCTGATTTGGTGTCGTGGAGCAAGCATGTCCAATCCAAGAATCGAACACGCAACCTCTCGCTTGCTGGGCAACCACCTAACCAAAGGGCTAAGTGGGCTGGGGTGAAAGTGGAGGCCCAAGACGAGTGGACTTCACCCCACCCCAGCACGGATCTCTTCTCGACCCGGTGTACCCAACCACACCTGTCCCAGACACGACACGGCTACTGTATGGTCTGCTTTTCCCGGGTTGGGCCTGACTCTTGAATTTCCAGGAGTCAGCTGTCTTACATAGATGCACAGGTCACCTCTTTTGACTTAGGAGTCAGGACCCTATACCCTCTGACATTAGGACTTTTCCCAGACTGATCTGAAGCTAGAGAGCGACGCGACTTTTGCCCCCTGAATCTTGACTTTGCCCAAAAGTTACGACCCTGGCTTATGGCTGTGCGGATTTGAACTTCGTTCACTGCACCCAACTCTCGACGTGTGTTGTGGATATGTGCAGATTTCCTCAATTGCACTTCTCCACAAACACGTCCAGATCCGCACGCTTAGGAGACTCAACGCTGCTAGTGGGACTTGGGCCCCTGTGCAAGGATGACACACATAAATCGAGAAATGGACAAAATGGTCCGATCTTTTGTTCTTCAGTTTGGTTGCTGACTTAGTCCCTCCCTTCTATGCTATTTTTAGCTCTTATGTCTGTATGGCTCAGCATCGCGACTTGGACTTATTCCCACCCCCTTGGAATTTTAAAGCCGCCTCAAACTTGTTCACGATTCTGCAACTGGCGTGTTTCCTTCCCCCCCTCCTCCCCCCCCCCAGCCCCCTAGGGGCTCTGCGCTTGCTTTTTTCCCCCTTCCCTTTCTCCCTCTTCGTCTTTATTGATTTATTGATTTATTTGTTGTTTGTCATTAGTATGTGCTCTAACTGATCGGCTGCTTTGTCTTGGTCCCGCCTTTCGCTCTGATCGGCTGATTTATTTGTTGTTTGTCATTAGTATGTGCTATTTGTTTTAGGTTTTCCCATTTTCTTTTTTCTACGCGTAGATTGCCCAGCTCTGACCCTGATTGGCTGCTCTGTCTTGGTCCCCCTTTTCGCTCTGTTTTTTTTTTTTTTTTTTTTTTAATCAAGATTCGAACACGTGATCTATTCATCAATATTGGCTGCATTAAATAAATACCTGAATTACCTGGGATGCCTGGGGGGGCCTCTTGGCTGGGTCAACAAGTGCATGTCACAAATAGAGGGTTTCTTTTATTTTATTTGGTTCATTGGTGGGGTGTTTCTGTGCCCACAGAAAGCCAGCCCAAATCGGTGCTCATTATAATTTTCAGTGTCGTCGGTTAGGGGAGGAAGGGATGGGAGGGGTGATTCTTTTATTTTATTTGTTTCATTGGTGGGGTGTTTCTGTGCCCACAGAAAGCCAGCCCAAATCGGTGCTCGTTATTAATTTTCAGTGTCGTCCGTTAGGGGAGAAAGGGATGGGAGGGGTGATAAATGGGGTTTAAAGGGGTGTGCCACCTTACTTTGTTTATTATTTATTTTTTGTTTTTTTTAGTCTTCGATTGAGGTTATTGTCAGCTAAAAGTTGTTTGCGTCACAATTCTACACAACATATTTTCTTTCCAGAGATTTTCAGTGTTTTTTTTTTTTTTGTGTGTGTGTGTGTGTGTGTGAGGATTTAACACTTGGGCTGCTTGGAACCTTGCCCGGCTGGGCATTCCAGGCAGCCGGAGTTGTCAGTGCATGTGCCCAGAAATTTATGCGAGATTCCTAGACCGTTTTTTTGTCTCTCTTTCCAACTTTTGCGCTTCTCACTGTTTTCGTTGAGTAACTATACGCCGCAAGAACTGACAGCAAAAGCAAGAATGTACTCACACAAGGACTTTCTTGTGTGAATTTGGTCGTAATTGTGGTCCGATACATTCAGGAAAGTACAAGTGTGAGTATGCCCTGTCTGTGACTTGCTGGCCACTTCTCTGTGACAATATTTATGTGCATATATGGGCCTCCCTTCGCTACCCGACGTTTGACACGTATCTGAACTGCTGTGTGGACCGCATACAGTCTGACTGATCGAACATTTTGAATGTATGAGGACCGTTTTGGATACATTTAAAATGTTGTGCAGCCGAGTGAGGCCCTATGAGTTGGTATAACTCTGATGAAACAGTGTCACAAACCCCCCGATTTCTTGTCCGGTTCTCCCTTTCTGCTTTTGTTTCACCGGGCAGTTCGCTTTGACTATATTTATACTAACTTTATAGCAGTCGTCAAGCTTGGCAGTGTTTATTGTTGACCTAGCAAGTGAGCATGTGGAGGCATACAGTTGTAGCATTGCTGGAGGGTGTTGGGCTGGTGCGCCTAAGCCTGATTTCTGTTAGCTCTTCCTGTTCTCTTTGCAGTGGTTGGGTATCATCTCGCTGCCGCTCTCCGTTGGCCTCTGTCTGTTGTGGGCCTGCCCGATGTCATCCATCTTCTGCTAGTACCTGATATTCTGGTAGTTCTGCTGGGATCTACCTGGGACCCAGTTTGGAGGGTGGACCGCGATCCTGATTTGCGAGGCTTACAGTTTCATGGTGGATGGATTTTGATGTCGTGTGATTTGACCTTCAGAGTACCATCCGACGAGGGGCATTCAAGCAAATTGCTCTGCGTGAGGGAAGGCTGTGTGAAAGGAAAAGCAATCTGCCGAGGGAAGGCTGTCAGAGAAAAACCGACGGCGTGAAGTGCATGGAGGAAACTGACGGAGGGCGGATGATGGGCTGGAAAGAGGAGAGTATATATATATATATATATATATATATATATATATGTACGGTCTAGGTAAACGCTGTGGTTGTGATGAAGGGTATAGATGCATGGAGTGAGGTGTGGGAGGAAGGGTGTGGTGCTTATTGCATTGACTGAGGCGAGGGGTTGGGGAGGGGGGGGCGGAGGGGGAAGGAGGGGAGCGGGGGAAGTGGGGGGAAGGCCATTTATTCAACAACTATTTATTGCAGAGAGATGGTGTAAGGAGAAAGTCTTAAGTTATGAATGAGATTGAGCTGCTGCCTCAGGAGCTTAAGCCTCAAATGAGGGAAGGGAAGAAGTCTCTGCCTGGAGACCGAAGGCCAATAAGTAAGGAAGGAATGGAGGGGAGATTCTGGATGAGTATGGTTTCTGCCTTCTGAGATGGGGGCAGAAAAGGACCCATAATTTATTATTGAGGTATGGTCGAGGGAATTTGTTCAGGATGGAGAATGAGAGAAGGGGGCTGTTGCCTCGGAGCCTCAGAGAGGAGGCCAAAGTGAAAGAAAGGCCAGGTCGAGGGCTTATGTAGAGGAAGAGGAGACTGGCAGCCGCCAAATTGAAAGCATCTTCGGCGAAAGATGACGAAGGAGTTTCTGCCTGCAGGATTAGCAAAAGGAGACTGACAGCCACCGAATCGCTACTCAGGGGATGGATGGGTAAGGGAAGCATTGCGGAGGATAAGAAATCATGTGTAGGGAAGAGGGCTTTGATTTGGGCCTTGTCAATAAGGGTGGTGGGGATCACAGCCTTGTGGCAGGAGTCTTTGGACCCTTGTTGCTGGGTGCTTCCCCTCCATGCTGGCCAGTTGTAACTCGTGGGCGGATTCGCAGCAAATAAGGGGAAGGGAAGCAGGAGGCCGGCAAGGGTGAAGAGCTCATAGGGGAGTTCGAGAGAATGGGTGGGCAGGCTGTGTCCCGCAGCTGGAACGTCTCCAGATGCCTCTCCTCCTTGTGGATGATAGGTCTAGTGCTGTCATGGATTTGTGGAGCTGGGGGAAGCTGGGGAGTCGATACCTTTGCATGGCAGCGACTGCTGCAGCAGCAGCAGCAACAGGAACAGCAGCAACAGGAACAGCAACTGCAAGATAGGTTGCCGCCAGAGCTGCTGGTGCGGAGATTCGTAGATAGTGCACAGAGCCGGGGAGCTGTTTGTAATGACGAGTCGCCCGGGGTATACTACATCCGCACTCGAGCGGACGCTACAAAATGGATTATATTCTTTGAAGGTGAAGCAGCCTGTGGCCAACACTGCCTCAGTGTTCTCCAGGGCGTGAACGCAACCAAGTTGACGGAATACCAGTCAGAGGTGAGAAAAAGCAGCGCTCCAGCGTATGAGAAATATGCAGCTCATTTGCAGGTGCTGTTCAACTCTACGACAACCCCCTTGAGATCTGTACCCTATGGGCCATGGAACGATACCCTGCGTGGATACAATGTCCTCTCCGGTATCGAAAGCGAGAATCCTCGTTTCTACAATTACAACCGCGTTCTACTTCGCTACTGCAGCTCAGACTTTTGGTTGGGGGACATGAAACCTAGTGAGTACTCTCGAAACACATCGTTTATGGGGTCCGTCATCTTCCAGTCGATCATGAAAGATCTACAGGGGTCGACTGGGATCCGCAATGCAACGGAGATCATATTGGCAGGCGGCGGGCTTGGGTCGGCTGGTGCATTGAACCATGCTGACTGGACTAAGGAACAGTTTGGGAGGGGCAATCTCACCACGATCAAAGTCCTTGTGGACGCTTTCTACTGGGTCGGAAACAAAGAACTCGTCGCATCGACCATGGCGGTTCTGTTCATCTCGAATGCTGTGATGCGGCCTGAGTGCCGGCCTGGTGGGACATTCGAGGGGCTGCCATGCTGCATGCTCACGTATTGCATGGCTTCCACTCAGATTGCCAAGGAAATACCAGTGTTTGTTGTCGCAAACGTCTTTGACACAGCCATGGTTTTCAACGAGTACCTTTCGAACAATGGTACTTTCCCGGAAGAGGAAGTCCCGTCGAACATGACCGGGTACCTGGACGTCATTGGAAGTGCCTATAGTGGTGCGGGTAAAGTTGAGGCACCCACAACTCCTGATATACGGTATCTTGTGTTCTTGCAGAGTGCGAGGGGGTTTTCGCAAGCGATGAAGACGACTCTTTTGCGGCCAGAGGTTGAAGGGAGGAACGGCTTAAGCTATTTCCTTCCTGCTTGCCTGGAACGATTTCAATTGCTGCCTACATTGGATGTCGGGCAACGGCAAACTCCGGTCGTGTCTGGGAACTTCAAGGCTTTACCTGCCCTCCGGACATGGGAGGTCGTTGCTATCCGGAACGATAGCTCCTCTCCAAATGCTGCCCCTGACACACATGGGGAATTGATCACTTTGAGGGACGCGATCACGCTGTGGGCCAATGCGACAGATTTCTCGTACAACAACTCCGTGCGGTTAGTGGACACTTGCACTTCTGTGATGTGCAACCCAACCTGCGGTGGACTGACGTACGACGCGGAGCTCTCCATGGATGGAACGTTCTTTGCGGTTCCATGGGACCTCGTTGTGCCGGTTGTGGCAACAATCCCCGCAGTGTTATGTTTTGCGATCGAGGTCCTCTTGGTCTGGAAATGGTGCTTGCTGCTGTCCACGCAGCGCAAGCTTCTGAAGAAAGGTAAGGACCATCATCGGAAACTTGCTGATGTGTCCCAGGTGGAGAGCGTCATAATCACCTTTCAGAATCTAAGCTACTGGGTCGACGACAGCAAAGAGGTACAAATCCTGCACGATGTGTCCGGCTGGGCAACAGCAGGTCAGCTGACAGCAATCATGGGACCATCGGGAAGTGGGAAGTCGACCCTTCTGGAGCTGCTGATAGGCCGTCGCAGCTCAGGAGTGGTTGAAGGAAGTCTTATGATCAGTGGTTATCCGTTGTCGCAGAGACGAGCGTGGCTCAAGGCGAACACAACTTTTCTTCAGCAGGAAGATGTCGGCCTTCCCCAGCTCACGGTTCGGCAAAGCCTGACCTACAGCGCCATGCTGCGCCTGCCCCGGAAGATGTCCCTCGCCGCCAAGCTGATTCGAGTGGAACAGATTATTGAGGAAGTTGGTCTCGGCAGCTGTGCAGACACCATTTTCGGCGGGCCCAACCTTCCAGGCCTCAGCGGTGGCCAGAAACGGAGGCTCAGCATTGCGACAGAACTCTTAACATTGCCCTCGGTCATCCTGCTCGACGAGCCTACCTCCGGTCTCGATTCCGCGTCTGCATTGGACATCATCCGCCTTCTTTCCCGACTGGCTCGGGCAGGCCGTGTCATTGCCCTTGCTGTGCACCAGCCTCGGCAGGAAATCTTTCAGATGTTTGATAGGTTGATCCTCGTTGCTCATGGCCAGGCCGTATTTTCCGGCACCCCCACCGAAGCGATGAACATAATGAGGTCTCTGATGTCCACCACTGGCAGCCCCTACCACTACCATGAATCCAGCTCCCTGCCTCGATCCATGAAAAGCCCGGATGTCATGAACAACCTGGAAACGGTTGACGAAGAGGAAGAAGGCGAGATGCCGTACGTCAACCCGGCTGACATGCTGCTGGACCTGCTGCAAACCGAGAGGGGTAAGATGGTCCTAAGTAACATCTCGCGAGACCCTCCCTCCGTGCGCCGCAGACCAAGTACAGATACATCGAGGAAGAGACAGCATGCCGGATGGTTCACCAGACTTTGGGCGATGGAGGGTCGCAGTTTGGCTCGGGGCTTATTCTTCTGCCAGCTGCACATGTTACTGGTATTCCTTTTAGTCGGGGTGTGGTTGGGCCTGTTATACATGAATGCCGACATACCGTACGTTTATGCGAGTGCGTTGGCTGTTCAACTTGCGCTGGCGCCGATCATTCTCAGTCCGGGAATGGCGCAAGTGTTTTTCGATCTGCTGCCTCTATACAATGCGGAGAAGATGGTGGGTGCGAGCTCCAGCTGGACCTTCATGCTCACGTACTACTGCCAGAAAGCTACAGTCGGCAACTTTGCGATTATGTTTCTTGTCCCTCCCATTTACTGGATCTCGCGGATAAGTCCAAAGCTGACGGATTTCTTTCTGACGATCCTTATACTCATCCTTTACTTCATGGCTTTCCTCGCAGCATTCTGCATGCTTCTCGCCTTGTCCCCCTCAAGGAAGGAGCAGATGCTCGGGGCCTCGCTCATGCAGATTTTCTTCATTCTTTTCTCTGGAACCCTGGTTCCGCCGAGTGTCCTTCCGCGATTGCTGCGCCCCCTGAAATACGCCTCCCTATTGTACTACGGCTTCTCTGCAGCCACAGTTACTAACTTTAAGGGTAAGAGTTACAACTGTGACTACTCGCGCATCGAATGCACTCTTTACACCGGTGACTCGTTTCTTGCATCCCTTGGTTTCCAGGATGTCAATGTCCATCGAAACATGCTTGTCCTGCTCGGATTCATCATCGTTGGCATGCCTCTTTCCATGGTTATCCTGTGGTGGAGGTACCGCCCACGAAACATGCAAGGGCTGAGGTGGAATTGCTCAAAGACCTCGGAACCAAAGCTGAAGACGTCGGGACGGCCATCTGATCCGAGTGTAGAACTCGTAACCGCAGATTCGCCTGAACCCCAACGCTGATAGTTCTCCCATTTCTAGCTTTTTGTTTTTTGTTTTATTTCGTTTTCTTTTCTGTAACTTTTTCCTTGTTTGATACCATCAAACCTTTTGTTTGGTTGGATGGACGGGCAAGAAGGGCTATTTGGCAGCTTGAGGGTAGATTTGCGTTGTTGATTAGGTGACTCACTTCAAAAGTCGGGAATTGTAACGAGGACTGGATGTTGTCGATTGCTACACTTCCTTTCACAGGGACATCTGTAGCGGAGATAGTTGTGTGGTTGCACTACACAGACACTCCTCGTGAAGCAGCATGACGGATAGGAGCGAAGTGCATGCAAGCAAGAAGACAGGGAAGAGGGGGAGACTTGCATGGTTGCTCGGCTGAATTTTGCGCGGAGGAACTCCATGACCAGATCCTCGTTCACTGTCACGCCTTCCTCGTGGACTTTTTCATGGGGATTTGTCTCCAGGTTCGGCGAGCGGCTGTTTGTTATTGGTTGTGTTTGTGTTTGTGTGTGTGTGTGTGGGGGGGGGCGGGGGGGTGGGGGGGGGGGGAGAGGGGGAGAGAGAGAGAGAGAGAGAGAGAGAGAGAGAGAGAGAGAGAGAGAGAGAGAG